TGACAGGTTTCTGATCAGTGATTCTCTCTGCTTGGTTGGGTTTTACGAACACCAACACCGGCCTGAGTCCGCATCGTGATACCAAAATGTGAGTAGAATAGATTCTATCCGTTGAGGTTCAGGATTCTAGAACCTTGGCGCTTCGTTGATGGTAGTCCAACAGTGTCGAGTTTACGGTACTTTACGGTCGGTACTTTGTGGCCTCATCAACTTACTCTCGTTCTTTCCATCTGAGTGAGGATATATTTTAGTTTCCGACTGTAAGCTGGCACTGGCGGTGTCGTTCTCGTGGAGCCTTTTCAGATGTGCTGTAATGGCATCGCGCCGTCTACCTCTTTCGTTCAGGCCGAGTTGCGACTCCTTGTTTTACTTGAATCTTCTTTGTCGTTCCGTCGATCTTCATCATTCGTTGTTTTGCTGCTACGCCCCTGGCTCGCAGAGGGCTGTGAGCAGGTTCTGATCGTCGACTTTTGGCCTCTACTTCCGTCCCCTAGTAGCCTGAGAGGCCCTTGATAACCCGGGCGACAGATGAGTCGGTATAGTTTTCGATGGCGTCAGTACCATGAGTTGCATTTGGCGGACTTTTACGGAGACTTCGCCACGGTCTCCAACCCTCCTTTCTCAACCGTGCATGGGACCGACAGAGGCGGAGTTCGAATCTTCTTCCTTTGAATAAAACTATTTATGGCTCAAATTGTTTAAGAGTTGCTATCCCAATGGGCTGCCTGCAGTGAGAGTGAAATTACGAATGTTCCCGAAAGCCGCATAGCAGCTGCATAAAATCACCAGAGAATGAAATTCGCTTAGTCCACAAATTGAAACAGCCTTGGTTTCGTTGCAGTGCAAGATCATCAGGTAGAGAAAAACGTTTTCATGCAGTTTATATACACTGGGAGGGAGTGGTTGAGGAAGGGGAAGTAAAAATGATGGAAGTTAGAAGTTAATGAGGGCTTGTTTTCACGATAAAATGCAAGCACAAAAATAGGGTGTATGTGGCATGTTCTCCCTTTTGACCCTGCCATTAAAGTGAGTAATGATCAAGTGTGCTCACAGTGGAACACAGAGAATATCCGATGACGTTTGTCCATCCGTCCCTCGTTAGGGACAGAGGGAGGCTCTCTTGATTGGCCAGGTATCAAAAGGTACGACTGCCGATGGAACGTTAACGGGAAGAGGGGCGGAAGAGTGTTACGGCCGTTGTTCATGTCCAAAAATGTTTCCAAATACTCAGGGCTGAGATGCGAGTTAATACAACGTCATTGATTTCGGATTGAAGATACTCAACCTGTACCAGGAAAGCAGATTGACAATTTGAGACTCCATTCTTTCCGGGCCAAAATTTGAGTCAGTTTGTACTCATGGCACAATGCTGCAGGCAGAATTACAGTCAAAGAAAATAACCCGTGCTAGCTGCTTCCCTAGGCCAAGTTACTCGCAATGGTGTTGACTGTCACAGCCAGAGCATCGGTCATATTACCTCTACGTCTGTAACCGAACGGCGTAGAGTCACTCTTTTCAGTTTTTTTGGCGTGCACAAACAGTAGAATATTGTTCTCCAGGCATTTGAAACCGAATGGTGGCCTTTTTGATTTTAAGGATTTAACTACAACTGTGATCGATATGGAATGTTGTAGTGTGCTGTTTCTTTCTCACCAGGTCGTACTAGTTTATCTAGCTCGAAAAGCGAATATCCTGACAGTATGTAAAGAGGATTAACGGACACGGTAGGCGGCAACCAAATAAAGAGTGATAATAATTCAAATCGATGACTTATGAATCGGCAAGCGAGTGAATAGTACACGCTGTCATTATCTGCCTAAACTCATCGACTCTACAACTTTTGGTCTGCTTGTAACTTATGTACTGAACGTCGATGGCCTCCATCCGTTCTAATCCATGAAAAAAAGCGACGACATCCTGTTATCGTACCATATGCACTCGTACCCGAAAATGACGACTTTTGTCATAATGAACGGAAGATTCCTAAAATGTTTGATTGATGATATCAGATTGAGAGAATTATCGCAAGATCTGAGAAATTCGTAGGAACAGCATCGTCATATCTTGCATATTCGTGTCGTTATCAATCTGAACGGCAAATAACATTTGTCATGGCCACATTAGGAATTCGCGTGTTCGTTCTTTTGTAACTAGACCAGCTTGTCTGTCCGGTGATAGATTGGAACCGCTGGAAAGACTTTCTGAGGCAGCTGCCTCTCATGAACTGAAAAAATATGGAATTCTAAACTTCAACGAATAACAGTACAATCAAGGCGAAAGAACATGACTCTCAATCGCAGTATACTTAGCGATATCTCATTTCGTGCATGAGATGTTCGCTATCATCTTATTATTTCTCAGCAAATAGTTGTTCGATTGTCCATTCTTTACGGACTCAGGGCACGACTTGCTCCCTGAACCTTATAGTTTAACACACATGTCTTGATGGCTTCCTCAGTGCCACACTTATAGATCCTGGTAAAACTGGCCGAAGTACCTCGATTGTTAACTTGCGCCGGAGGAGAGAGGCAATTGATCACTTTTGCTAAACAAGATGGATGATGCGAATTAAAGGTAGATTAAGCCTAAGGTATTCTCTGCCTCAGCTGATGAATGGTTGCAGATCGATGTAGTATTTACTGAATCTTCTGGCTGGCTTCACGCTTATTCTGTTATTCTTCCTTCTCAGTTGTTGAATAATTTCCTGTATGTATTTCCTTCTCGTAATCATCATTTTTAGGGCATCGACTGTTTGTTCGATGTACTGGTGTCCGTTTTCCTTAGTGCATGATGCCCTTGCCGCTTCGTTTCTTCGATTTCCTTGCGATCTTTGTTGGGTATATTCTGTAACTTCTTGCTGGTTGTGGTGTCCTTCGTGACATACGTTAACTTTTATTTTCGAAAAGGTTTTCTGCTTATTTGATTATAATGTCATACTCCAGTTTTCTTGTTTTAAGGAGTCTTTCGGGTGTTTGTCCATTTCATAACACCACCGGATTTTGCAGCTGTTGATACGTACTTATGACTGCTGCCTGTGACTTGTACGTGGCTGTATGTACACTTTGCTCAGACATCTTGCCCAACGTAAGCATCTTGTCTGGTTGGGTAGTCTAAGGGTTCTTGTCGGCTTTCTCTGAAAGTATGCTGAACGGCTGTGTGTAGACTGTCCGTCCTCCTTTTAGTCGGAGCGTCCGTTAGACCAGTTTTCATGACGCTGTGAAGAAATGTGCCAGCCCCGTTGCTAGCAGTTTCATTAGCTGATCGTTTCCGGACTCATGTTCAGGCCTTCACGGTAGCCATAGCATCTAGAAAGAATGTAGTGCTGTGTTGTACAGTGTCATGATAGAGACATAGAGACATGATACACAATTTCCCGCCACTTCTCCCGATTTCGTGCGGTCATTTATCCATTTCTGTCATTTGCTCATTTTTACCATAGTTCTGACTTAGTATCGGTTGTTCTTGCCCTTTTTCTCCGGATTTCAGACAGCAAAATCAGCAGTCATGTTGCTGTGATCATTCAGTTGGGAAATTCAGGTTAATGGCCATTCACTGATCGCTTTATTTGATAAAATGTATTGTATATTTCATGTTTTGCCCCATCCCCATCTTCATGTGGTGCTAGGAGTACATCCTTGCAATAGCTTCTCTACTTTGTCTCTATTCTTCTTACGACGCGTTTCCATTGTTCTAGTTTTGCCTTACAGTAATGATTGCACTACTCAGATTTTTCCGGGTATATGGTATCACGCGTTTGTAGTTAGCCATACTCCGCGTGAGAAACTTTACTTTATACATTTGTTAAGGGCAAAAACATGTGAACGTAATATGCCCCAGTTTTGGGGAACGGGCTTGTGCTGACATTTGTTCAAGCATATGCCTGTTAAAAATTTAACAACCATTTGAGTTCAGGTTTTCTCACTTGGTTCTGACCCTCGGATATGTTTTATAATGCAAGATATTTGACGAATTGTTCAGTACTTGACCTACGAATTTTTCATGCAGTTTGTTATACATGAGATTTCATATGGTCAGACATTTAAAACATTTTGATGAAACCTCATCCTTCAGCATAGTGCCTTACCCCAGTTTTATGCTGCAGCAGTTGCAGACCTTGTCCTGTGGTTGCTGATGACCGTTCTGATGTTCACTAACTTTTCATATAATGTAACAGGCTGTAAGACACCGTTTTTTGTTTTGTCGGGGCGTTCAGCAAAAAGACCGTGGTTAGGCGACGGTCAGATGTATGCAGCGATAAGATGCCGGTTCCTTTGTCAGAGTGCTCAGCGGAACGATCGTGGCAAGACCAGGACCGGAAGCGATTCGCATAAATTGGACGGAACCCCTGCGGATTAATTAGCCCTTGCTACGGGCCGGAAAAAATATAAAATGGTACGGTACGAACGAAGTGGGAGATGCGTACTGTTTTGGAGTGCGTTGTTTTGTGTAATAAAAGTTTTCATTCTTAAAATTGATGCGTGACTATCTTCACATGGACGCACATCTTCAGTTTGTTGAGGGTGTTTTCTCCGGACCGACCAGACC